AGATTCTTGAATTTACATAAAAAATTAAGAACATAGAATTTTAACCTAGAGTTACTTTAATTTTTTGAACATTAGAGGAATTAAGCATGAACAAAAATATTCTTGTCTTTGTTACATAATTACTTTGCAAAGTGCTGCTACAAACTCTAGAAATATCAGGAAAACTCTAAAGTCTGGAAGATAAAACATTTAAGCACTGAAAAAATGTTTTTAGTAAAGGACAGAAAAGCCCACCAATCGGACAATGGTTAGGCAAGAACATCAAATGAGAACAAGAAAGAAAGAAGAGAGAGAGATATAGGGATATCCTATAGGTACCTAATAGTCCAAGTCATTCTATAGAGGTGGATAGCCAGAAACTGGGTTGGTAACTTCTGGACACCTGGTTCCATCCTGCTGGTTCCAGAGGCTGGGTATATAGCATCTGGGCACCTGGGTCCACCCATACAGTTCCTCCCCAACCCACATGTCCCACTTTGTCCCCTTCCTAGAGGTAAAGACAACCAAACAGTAGGGTGCTGTCCAAGGGGGCTTAGATTTTGAGAAAAGAGGGAATCTACTCATCACCAAATTAGATCTAATAGGTACTCTGGGGTGGGATGCAAGGAGTATCTGGGTAGGCTGCTGCCCAAGCATCCCTTCAGAGGGTCAGCCCAGGGCTCACATAAAGATGAGTGCTTGGGGTGGGGGACACTATGTAGTGATGCACCAACTTCAGCATAAGTTTAAATGCAGCATGGTCTACATGACCCTGGGATTGCATTGCAGATCAAAATTGCTGCCCTTACATTCAATGCTCAGATTCTTGGTGCCTGACAGGGTCTTGATCCCAAACATGACATGTTAGTCATGCCATCACATAGGAAGAGGAAAATAGGCTTCACACTGAACAGGCTTGCTTCACTATTGGTGCTCCAGTAGAAACTGCTTTGCAGCTTGTGCATTGTGCTCACAGTCAGCTGGTACTCACTCATAGACCTCAATGTCTTGAGGCACAATCTTGTTTCCAGGGACAATTCATCCCAATGGAGGGAAAACTTGGGTGACTATCAGGCATAAAGGGAATGTGGAGCTGTCTCACAGCCTCTACATTAGCAAATACTATATCCCAGGACTTTCATACCAAACTGAAGTCTCCTGCCTTAGGGCTGTCTCTGTCTTCAGGATAAGGCAGTGGACAGTTGTAGCTCATGGTTTGCAAAGATGTTGGAAGCCAGGAGTTCCCAAAGGGGACTTCATGTGCTTATTGCTTAGTCTTTGTTACCCCAGGCAACCTGGGTAGGAATGAGGCAGAGGCTTTCAGAGCCAACATGGTGGCAGAAATACTTGATGCAAGCTAAGGCAAATCTGGGGATCTCAATGGGAAGTAGTTCTCTGCCTGTGCACCCAGGACAGCATGCCTCATAGTGCCTTTCAGAGATGGGGGCCCAGAAGCCAGCATGTCTTTCAATGCCTGCTTTCTCAAGCAAGAGGCAAGATGCCAAAGTGCCTTAGAGTTTGTGCATGTTGAGGAGGAATTGGGATGCGAGGAGTTCAAGTGACAATGTTCAGCATTATGCCAACAAATTAGAAGATTCAAGGCACCTGCTAATGCACCTCCAGGGATGCAAAGTACATGTGCTCCCTGATGTGCAAGCATGATTTAGGATCAAGATGTCTGGCACTGCAGGTGGGGCAGGACATGCAGGCATATAGCAGGAGTCAGGCCTCATATCCATTTTTCCCTGACAAATTCCTCATTCCTTCATCTGGCACACACATGCCCTATCATCTACATCATTATTTCACTATTTGGTCACAGTTGCTGGCAGTTTGTCATGTGCCTTACCTCTACAGGTATTTAGCAGTCAACATTGTATTGTTGTAGAACCAAAAAATCTGATAATATAAACAAGGCAGCTGGTAATGATGTGGCTTCTGCTGAACACTCAGAAAAATTTCAAAGGAGTGTAGGTAATGCAGTCAGAAAAAAAAAAAACTGAGGTAGAAATTAGAATTAAAACACCAAGGTTGGAACAGCTCTGTGTTGCAGTGGTAACCAAAGGCCTACAGTGCTGACATCCCATATGGGCTCCAGTTCAAGCCTTAGCTGCTCGTCTTAATATCCAGTTCCCTGTGAGGTACCTGGGAAATCAGTAGAAGATGGACCAAGCCTCTGGACCCCTAAACTCACCTCTTAGACCTAGAAGAGGCTCATGGCCCCAGCCTGATCAATTGTGATAATCTGGGGAGTGAACCAGCATGGAGGATCTGTTTCTCCTTCTCTCTCTTTCAAATTACCAAATCTTAAAACAATAAGTTGCAAGAGTTAAAAAAAATGATGCTGAAATTCATATGGAAACACAAGAGACCCCAATAGCTAAAGCAACTGTATACAAAAACAACAACAAAAAAACACACAAGCCATCAGGCATCACAAAAATTTGAACACAGACCTACCATATGACCCAGGCCTCCCACTCCTGGGAATTTACAAATGGGAAATGAAATTAGCACATAAGAGTATCTCTACCCCCATGTTTATTGCAGCTCTTTTCACAATAGCTAAGACATGGAACCAACCTAAAAGCCCATCAACCGAAGACTGGATAAAGAAATTATGGGTATGTACACTATGGAATTCTACAGCAGTAAAAAAAAAATGAAATCCCTGAACTGCGATAACTAATAGAGCACCTAATAGGAGGTCTGTAGAAGTGAAATTGACACTTTGAGAAGCAATGAGAACAGCCTTTATCTTGACTATGAAGGAACTTTTTTCATTCTATTTGTTGAACTCTTTACTTAACAGAGCTAATCATATGTGTATAAAATCAATTAAAATAGAACTCGGCCAGCGCCATGGCTCAATAGGCTAATCCTCTGCCTGCAGCGCCAGCACACCAGGTTCTTGTCCCAGTTGGGGTTCTGGATTCTGTCTCGGTTTTTTCTCCTTTTCGTCTAGCTCTCTGCTGTGGCCTGGGAGTGCAGTGGAGGATGGCCCAAGTGCTTGGGCTCTGCACCCCCATGGGAGACCAGGAGAAGCACCTGGCTCCTGGCTTTGGATCAGCACGGTGTGCTGGCTGCAGTGGCTATGGGGGGGGTGAAACAATGGAAAAAAGGAAGACCTTTCTCTCTGCCTCTCTCTCTCACTGTCCATTTTGCCTGTCCAAAAAAAAAAAAAAATAGAACTCAGTAAAAAAATAAGAGTGGGAATAAGGGAGGAGGAAATTTATAACTGTAAAGCTGTATAGTTTTGCATATATTCCTATGGACTTTTTGCTAACAGTACAGTTTATAAACTTGCATTGGACCCCAATATGGGGTCCAACATGGGAAACAGTCCACACAGCAAACTCATAGAATGATAATCACTTCAAATAGCACTCTTGACCTCAGAATCAGCCCTTCAGTCATTCTGGTCTGGCTGAAATGCCCATGAGAGTATTTCAGACATGGAACACTATAACATCATGGCCAAAAATGTCCTATATGAAGGATATCTGTGGGTGAAACCCTGTGGAAAGAAGTCACCAAAGAAGGATGTACTTTTCTCTGAAGCAAGAACTTCCGCTTTGTGTGTGGCCTTTTCTAAATACTGATGGTGTTTGAGGGTTCAAAAGGCTTCCATAGCCCAGGCAGTTTATGTCAAGAGCCCCAGGCAATGTTAATTGTTAAATTAACAACAGGAATCACTGTGCACTAACTTCCTATGCAGAACTTCTATCCTCAATGAGTTGTATTATGAGTTAAACTTGTTCTCAATTTTGGTGTGTGCAAGTTGTTGAAATCTTTACTTAGAGTTGGTCTTCTGTTTATTAAGTAATTGAAAATGAAATCTTGGAGAATGGGACTGTCATGGGAGACAGCGGATGAGGAGGGACTGGAGTATGGGTGCAAGAGTGTTGTACTTAACAAATGCATGAAGTCTGTTATAGTTGAATGAAAGTTTCTTTGGGGGGAAAAGCAGGACAGGTTTATAGTGCATTGGTAAATGGAATACATATGCTTTATTCTAGAAATATGAATCCAGAACATCATGAATTAAGGCTCAGGTTCTTGATGGGGAGTGTGTGTGATGAGGCCTGGAGCCATGTAAAATACTTCTAGCTGAAAACCCTGTATACTGTATGGAAGGTCTGGGTTTTGGGACAGTGTGTGACTGCAATACACATGCTGCTGGCAGTCTTCTATTCCTAGAGCTCACTGGCTAGCTGCCTATATCATCAGATAGTAAAATGAATAAACAGAAGTCAGAACATTGGTAAATGACTCCAAAACAGGCATAACCACAATAGAGAGGGCAAGAGAGCTGCAGAACAAACAGGACAAAAATAAAAGAACTATGGCCAGCACTTGTGGAACAACAGGTTAAGCTGCTGGGAGGCATATGCTGACATTATTTTAAGTGTTAGCTGGGAGTCCTGGCTACTTTGTTCTGGTCACGACATTGCTAATACGCCTTACGGAGTTAGTACTTACTGATCCATATGTTTGAGGGCCCTTCCACCCATGTGGGAGGCTAAAATGGAATTTAGGCCTCCTGGCTTTGGGCTCACCTAGCACATGGCTGTGTTCAGCCAGCTGGGGTAGGGAATGTAGTGAATATAAAAGAACAAATCGGTGTACATGTTTTGCTCTGTCATTGTCTTTTAAGGGAAAAAACAACTTAAACTTGGCCCAGAAACCACATCCAGGAAGAGAGGTATTGGGACATTTGGCTCACCAAAGCAATACTTATGAATCCTCTTACAATTCTATAAATAGATTGGTAATATAAAGGAACAAATGAGTACAGCCTAACCACACAAATCTGGGAATTCACAGGGATGACTGAAAAAAGCCACAAGACAAATCCTAACCGTAGGACAAAAAAAAAACAACTCCAACTCTAACTAGTACATGGCATTAAATGGCTGGCATGTGAGGTAAACACAACTGTGGTCACATTACTGAGATCTGTACTAGAATAAATGGAGTGAAGACTCATGTGCAGGCAGTGAAAGAGTTTGTACCAAATACTTTGCAAATGTTAGGATTGTATTTCAAACTGAGTAGTATAGAATGAGTATTTACTTACAAAAAATTACATGTGGATATCGTCCCCTACTCATAATAAGTACAGGCAAAACAGCAGATTATTTGGCACAGAGACTAATGTAGATTTCAAAGACTGCATAGCCAGCCTCTGCAGTACAGTGTTACACCCTCATGTGAATTCCCTAATACCTGCAAAGATGTGATGTTAAACAGGTATTTTTCCACCTTCATTACTATTTTGCAGAATAATATTGAGTAATTTTGCTAGCACTTATTTTATGTACTGATAATTTTGTGGATAATTTTGCTGATGCTTGTTGAAATCTGCCTCAGAGTAAAAGCTTTGTCCACTTCTACTGCCTTTGTAGAGTTCTTCCTCTAAGATCCCTGATAGTGAGATCTGGCTTATGGTAGAAAGTTTTCCTATATTCACATGCTTTCTCACCTGTGAGTTCTTTGATGTGTGCCTAACACTGACTTCTGGCATCAGGAATTTACATAATCACTTCATTAAAAGGTATTTTTTTTTCCTTTTTGTGAGTTCTGCCTTCTGTTGAGATGTATCTTCTGGCAAAAAGTCTTTTCTTATCCATAGCACTGACAAGTTATCTCTTACATGTGAGTTCTTTGATGCCTTCTGAAGTTTGAATTCTGGGAAAATGTTTTTCCACATTCATCACATTGATAAGGTTTCTCCCCTGTGTGAACTCTCTGATGTGTAATGAGTTGTGAGTTATTACAAAAGACTTTTCCACATGTATTGCATTCATAAATTTTCTCTGATCTATGCATTCTCTGATGGGTAAAGAGTTGTGATTTCCAACAAACGGGTTTTCCACACATTTTGCATTATAAATCTTCTCCGTCTTATGTAGAGTGAGTTGTGACTTCTGGAAAAAGGATTTTCCACAGGTACTACATTCATAAGTTTTCTTCCTTTTTGTGGATCATCTGGTGTGCAATGAGTTGTGATTTTTGGCAAAAGGCTTTTCCACATGTATTACATTCAAAAGGTTTATCCACTGTGTGAATTTTCTCTGATGTGTAGTAAGGTTTGACTTCCAGCGAAAGGTTTTTTCACACATTTCACATCCATAGGTTTCTCATTTATGTGAATCTTCTGATGTGAAGTTAGATTTGACTTTTGGATAAAGGCTTTTCCACCTTTATTACATTCATAAGGTTTCTGCCCTATGTGAATTCTCTGATGTACAGTGAGATTTGACTTCCAAGAAAAAGGCTTTTCTGCATATATCACATTTGTAAGATTTCTCCTTTGTGTGAATTCTTTGATGTGAAATAAGGATTGTTTTCCAATGAAAGCCTTTTCCGCATGTATTACATTGATAAGGTTTCTCCCCTGTGTGAAATCTCTGATGTAGAATGAGTTGTGACTTCCAATAAAATGCTTTGCCACATGTTTTACATGTGAAAGATTTGTATCTTGTGTGAGTCATGTGATTTGTAGTATCTGACCTCAGGTAAATGGTTTTCCCACATTCATTGCACCCAGAGGGCCTTTCCACTTTCTGAGTTCTATGATGGATAGAAAGGCAGGATTTACAATTGAAAGATTTTCCACAGGGGTTACAAGAATAGGTTTTTCTTCCTGTATGTGTTCTTTGACTTGTGATAAAATCTGATTTGTAAATGAGAGTTTCCTCATACTCAAAAGATTCATAAAGTTTCTTTCCTGTGTGTGTTGAGGTTTACTGAGGTAGGACTTTTTCTGGAAAGTTCTTTACATGTTCAGTTGTCTTTCCTACAATGCCAACTGACTTATTACAGGTGTCTCCCATATGAGCCCTTTCATTTGTAAAGAACACTCTTTTCCCATTGAACCCTTTGCCTTTTACACTGTGTTCAAACACCTGCTGAAAAGGCTGAATCTTGTGAGGCTGCCTGATGGGCTCCCAACGTTCACTTGAGTTGCCAGGTACATTAGTGCCATCAGATTTCTCTGCAGCTCGCATCTCATCAGGCCTCCTAGGGAGTAGCAAATTGTGAAATAAATTATATGTCTCAGCTTTCAGTAAAAATATGGCCTGAGCTTAAATTAAGTGTTGCTTTTTTTTTTTAACAGGCAGAGTGGACAGTTAGAGAGAGAGAGACAGAGAGATCTTCCTTTGCCATTGGTTCACCCTCCAATGGCCGCCACGGCTGGTGCGCCACGCTGATCTGAAGGCAGGAGCCAGGTGCTTCTCCTGGTCTCCCATGGGGTGCAGGGCCCAAGCACTCCCCGGCCATAGCAGAGCTGGCCTGGAAGAGGGGCAACTGGGACAGAATCTGGTGCCCTGACTGGGACTAGAACCCGGTGTGTCAGTGCTGCTAGGCGGAGGATTAGCCTGTTGAGCTGTGGCACCAGCTAAGTGTTGCTTTTTAATTTAACTCTCTTGTGTGTTAAGTTGTTGTTTGTGATTACAACTTGCCTCAAATTTATTTGTTGACTTTTCCAGTTGGTTCCCAAAAGGTCATCCCTTCTGTGGGCTGAAATGAGAAAAAAAATACTATATCCATGAACCATATCTAAATGTTACTTGTAGAATGTTCAAGTAAAAGCAATGCAATTTCTTAGTGGAATAGCATTTGAATAGGTCAGTAAAAGGTATTCAGTGTTGCCCTATATATCTTTTTCTTCATAATACACTAAGGTAATAAAACAAAGGAAGCTTTCCCAAATTCATACATTTAACTATGTTAAATGTTTTAAGTGGAGAGAGGGGGCAAGTGATGTCAGGCAGTGGGTCAAACCATTTCTGAGGATACATGCATCCCACATTAGTACCAGATGAGTCCTGGCTACTGTGCTTCCAATACAGATTCCTGCTAATGTGTCCTGGCAGGCAACCAATGATGATTCTAAGTGTGTTGGAGCCTGCCACACACTTAAAAGACCCAAACAGATTTACTGGCTTTTGGTTTCAGGTTGGCCTCATTCTTACTGTAGCAGGCATTTGGGCAATGAACATGTAGATGGAGGACTTTTCTCTCATTCTCTATTTCTCTGTTACTTTCATTCTGCCTTGCAAGGAGAACCTAATAAACATTTTCATAACTAAGTAAATATTTATAAAAGTTGAGAAACACTTAGTAAAAATACTTAGCAACTATCTTATTTGAGTAATAAGCTGCAAACTTCCCAGCAACCATCATCATTTCTTATAAAAGTGAGGTTTCTTGCTTCCTTAATCATTCAGCTTTGAAGATGGGAAAACTTCATTGGATCACTTACTTATAGGTACCAGAAGAGGACATGTGTGTATCCCCTAGGCAGGACCGTAACTTAGAAACAGCATCCATTTTTTGGTTGCTGCATGTTCAGTTTTTCCAGGGGAATGGCTATAGAGATCTGTGGGGTTTCTTAAGCAAAAACACCTCCTTTAAATGTTTTCAAGATTTGTTTATTTTAGAGGCTGGTGCTGTAGTGCAGTGGGTTAAAGCCTTGCCCTGTGGCACCAGCATCCCATATTGGTGCCAAGTCTCAGCTGCTCCACTTCAGATTCAGCTACCTGCTAATGTGCCTGAGAAAGCAGCAGAGGATGGCCCAAGTCACTTGGTCCCTGTACCTGCATAGGAGACTCAGAAGAAACTCTGGACTCTTGGCTTCATATTGATTCAGCTCCATGCATTTCAGTCAGTTAGGAGTGAACTGGCAGATGAAAGACCTCTCTCTCTCTGTCTCTACCTCTCTCTCTCTCTTTCAAATAAATAAAAAAAAAACTTTTATAAAAGATTTATTTTTTTTTAAAGACAGAGTTACAAAGAGAGATGGAGAGAGTATTCATCCACTTATTCACTCCCCAAATGGCTGCAATGGTCAGGGCTGTACCAGGGTAAAGACAGGAGCACAGAACTCCAAATGAGTCTCCCAGATATGTGCAAAGAAATATCTGCTGCTTTCCCAGGCACAGTACCAGGGAGCTGCATCACAAGTGGGACAGCCAGGACTCAAGTTGGTGCCCATATGAAATGCTGTCATTACAGGAAGTGGTTCAACATACTGTCACAATCTCAGCCCTTCCCAAATCTTTTATATGTACATTATGATGACAGGTTTCCACAGATTCCTAAGAAAACCTAGTACCTTCAGATTCTCAGTACCACAGAAGGCCCATAAATGTCCCATACATTATTTTTTGTATGCTTTCCAATCAATTTAAGGAAATATGTTCTGCCATTAGGATTATGTTCACCTTCTTTGAGAAGTACTTCAACCTCATTATGAAACCAGCATACTTGGTATTCTTTGAGTTCTTGGTATACACTCTTGCTCTAAAATTGGAAGTTATGTCTTTTAATGCTTGTGCTAGATGCTCAAAATTATCCCATTTTTACAGAAAACTGACTCTCTTATGCATTTCTAAACTTTTATATTATAATTATATTATAAAAGGAGCAGGAAAAGTATTATAGCAGGTTAACCTGCTTCCTGCAACACTGGCATCCCATTTTCTTCATGATTTGTTTATTTGAACTACAGGGATAGGGACAGACAAACAAAGCCCATTCACTCATTCACTTTTCAATTGCTTGCAATGGCCATTTATTTTGTTACTCATTTATTTGAGAATCAGAGACAGAAAAAAAGGGAGAGAGGGGATGCCACTATGGCATAGCGAGTAAAGCCACTGCCTGCAGTGTTGGCATCCCATGTGGGTACCAATTCAAGTCCCAGCTGCTCCACTTCTGACTGGGAAAGCAGTAGAAGATGTACAGTAGAAGTACTTGGGCCCTGCACCCATGTGGGAGTCCCAGAGGAATCTACTGGCTCCTGGCTTCAGATTGGCGGCAGCTGCAGCCAATTGGGGAATGAACCAGCACTTGGAAGACCTCTCTCTCTCTGCCTTTCCTTCTATCTCCATGTAACTGACTTTCAAATCAATAAATCTTAAAAAAAAAAAAAGACAGAAAAAGGGAGAGGAAAGAGACAATGAGAAAGCTCACATTCACTAATTCAGTACTCAAATTTGTGCAACAGTAAGGCCTGTGCCTGGTCAAAACCATGAGTGGGAACTAAATTTCTGCAACTCATAAGAAATCAGTTCTGCTGTGTGATCCAATTTTTATAAGCATTGATAGAATAAATACATGAATAGGACAGTGCCATGGCTCATTTGGCTAATCCTCTGCCTGTGGCACTGGCACCCCAGGTTCTAGTCCTGCCTGGGGTGCCAGATTCTGTCCTGGTTGCTCCTCTTCCAGTCCAGCTCTCTGCTGTGGCCCAGGAAGGCAGTGGAGGATGGCCCAGGTGCTTGGGCCCTGCACCCACCTCAGAGACCGGGAGGAAGCACCTGGCTCCTGGCTTCAGATCAGTGCAGCACACCAGCCACAGCACACTGGCTGGAGCAGCCATTTGGGGAGTTAAACAATGGAAGGAAGACCTTTATCTCTGTCCCCCTCTCTAACTCTGCCTGTCAAAAAAAAAAAAAGAATAAACATCTGAAGAAAAACAGGATGTGACAGTAGGAAGAAGGAGAAGTTTGAATACAGGGGATGTATTTAACCTAGAAATTAGTCTCATTACAGGCAGAAATTGATTGCAATGGGGCTAGCACTATGGCACAGTAAGCTAAAATTCTGCCCGCAGCATTGACAACCCATATGGGTACTAGTTCATGTTCCAGGTGCTCCTCTTCAAATCAGCTCTCTGCTAATGGCCTGGGAAAGTGGTGGAAGATGGCCCAAGTGCTCTCCATCTTGGAGACCCAGAGGAAATTTCTGGCTCCTGGTTTCATATCAGCTCAGCTCTGGCCATTGCAGCCATCTGAGGAGTGAACCAGTGAATGCAAGACCTTTCTATCTCTCCCTCTGTCTGTCTGTAACTCTACCTCTCAAATAAATAAATAAAATTTTAAAAATAAATTGATTGCATTGTTGGTAGTTCTGACAAAGTATTCACCCAGAGCAAAACAACAAGCAGATGATGCGTCATATCAGCTGTTCTCAGGACTGAGACTTGGGATAAATAATGAGAAATGCTCTACCCAGTCAACATTCCTTGAGATCTTTTCCATCCCAGTCTCCCTGTCCCATGTGTGCTGACTGACCTGACAGGCTCCAATTTAGGGGTTTTGTCACTGTCCATGGCTCTGCCCCCGTTCCCACTTGAAAATCACCTCAGGTTTGCTTTCGCAGTACCCTGTTAAAGGGAAATAATGCTGGGTGTCATCATATCATTATGTTAGAGTTTTGAAAGACAACAGCTTGTTCACAGGGGCTGTGAAACAAAATTGTTGATTTCAATCCTTTCCTTATGTTTCTTGGCCTCAAATTCTATGCTTATCCACCATGTAATCTTTTAAACAATTAATTTGCTTGCCACATGGGAAGTAACTGTTTCACTTCGGCATGAGAGGGGAATAGCACTCACCCAAAAACAACAGGCTATTGTAGGTCTCCATCATCATATCTTTGTACAGAGTCCTCTGAGAACTGTCCAGGTACTGCCACTCCTCCTGAGTGATGTCCACAGCCAGGTCTTCAAATGATACCAACATCTGCAACAGCACATTTTTTTTTGTTCATCATGCCAGTTCTGTCACAAAAAGACTAGGAGTGCATTTCTCTGTGTGTGTCTTCTATGCCTTTTATATAAGATGCGGATGATTTTGGAATCTATATGGCAACAGCATGCAAAATTACAATGAAAATGTCTTGCTTCTATATTAATTTCATAATTCAAAAATCAGTACAATGGAATGCTTGTTATTATGGAACTGCTCTTTCTCCTAATGATTTTGAAAAGAGCCCACACTGTAATCTGTAGACATACATGTAAGCATATGACTGAATTAACATTAGATGAGTTACAGGAGAAAATGTTGAACATCAATTGGGAGAACGAGGAATTTCTTAAAAAATAAATTTTTCTGTATTATCAGATCATTTATTTTATTGCAAACTTTTTAAAATTTATGCATAGTTTTTTTAATGTATTTTTCCATTAATTATTTGATAAATTTTTGTGTGTACTTAATGACTACCACAATTATGTAACCAGGCCATAAGTCAAATAATATTTACATCATGGACATAGAGTTTGAAGCAGGAAAAAGAATATCAGTAACATGTATCAGGTATAGTTACTCTACTTCATATGTCTACAGGAAAATGCTGAGCTCATAAAAGTATCCAAATCATACAAGAAAGAGATAAAGGGAAGAGGAAGAAACCAGAAACTTGAGGATGCATAGGAATGGAAAACTCTCAAAGCATTTTCATTTGGGCTTTTATTATAAGGTTTTCAAGTCTGCCTTTTTTAATCTTACAAGTAAAATATACAGTAAGAAACAATTTGGAAAGCCAAAACATTCATACTGAAATCCATGTTAACTTGAAAATTAAGGTTATGACCATGACAGCTATTGCTAAATCATGTAAATGAATTAGTTGTTCTCAATAGAATTTTCAATTGTTCAAAATCACAGGAAGGAGATCACAAGGTACATCTAAAAAACATGCTAAAACACTAGTAACATAACCAGACAAAATGTCATGTTTCAGAAGGCTGACACCTGGCTGGAATAACAAATACACTCACACACACAAATACACACAAACACATTCTAAAGGGTTATACTGTCAGAAACAACCAAATTTACTTCAAAAGTGCCAGAAGATAAAGAAGTTATATTATAAACAAGAAGGAAGCCAACAAGGCAGCCCAGCCCATAGTAAGCATGCTCTATTCAGTCCTGGTCAATGATGTAATGTGGAGTCAGTGCCGTGGCTCTCTAGGCTAATCCTCCACCTTGTGGTGCTGGCACACTGGGTTCTAGTCCCGGTCAGGGCACCAGATCCTGTCCTGGTTGCCCCTCTTCCAGGCCAGCTCTCTACTGTGGCCAGGGAGTGCAGTGGAGGATGGCCCAAGTGCTTGGGCCCTGCACCCACAAGGGAGACCAGGATAAGCACCTGGCTCCTGCAATCAATCAGCATGGTGTGCTGGCCTCAGCGCGCCAGCTGCACCGGCCGCGGCAGCCACTGGAGGGTGAACCAATGGCAAAAGGAAGACCTTTCTCTCTGTCTCTCTCTCTCACTGTCCACTCTGCCTGTAAAAAAATGATGTAATGTAAATAATATTGATAATGGTTAAAGAAAGCTATTTATTAGAAGAAACAATGATTCCTTGGAAAACAACAGGTTGAAGAGCTACCAAGGTATGGAATGGAGTCAACAAAGTCTGTGTCTCAAGTACACAGCACAGGCCACTCTCCACATGTATCCCCAGCATGGTCATATTGCCATGAGACAGTGCTGCTATCCTCCAGAATTCCTAAATTATTTTTAAAATGAAATTATAAAAAAGGAATGGCTGTCGTGATTATCCTCCTCCTTTTTAAATCATGTACACTGATTAAAAACAAAGCAGTCACTTGTTAGCTCATGGCACACAGGTCTAACAATCAAGAGAAGCCACATCTGGACATGATACATTTCTGGTATCATTCACAGAACTTGGATTTGATTTCAAAGTTGAGAATAGATGATATTTTTTAAGTTTGTCTCTCTGGGTATGGAATGAAGTTAAGATACTTGTGAGATAAGATTAACTGATGTGTGGTGACCACTGCTCACTCAACTTCAGTATTGTTTCTTGTGAGAAAATCACATATCCTCTCCCAGTCTAGAACTCACACAAATTCACATGATTCTCACTCAGCAAATATCAGTAGATATGAATTGTGTCACTTCTAGGAGAGCTTTACTTGGTCCAATGGCTTCTATATTCTCCAATCACAAAGATGAGCATTTCTAGTAAAGGTCACTATAGCAGGATGAAGAAAAATAGGAGATCTGAAACACACTTTAAATGTGGAAGCCCTGCAGTGTCTGGGAGTCACTTGTCACCTAATTATACCCTAACTTTTCAACCCAATTGTTGTGAGACACTAACAAATAGAGCATCTGTTACAGCAGTTCACTTTAATAGATGGATCTCTCTAAGTCCATGGAAGGGGGCAAGAAATGCACAGAGGCTGGGGGTTATAGACTTTTTAGCAAATTTTGTGGAAAACATACACAAAATAAAATTAAAAGTGAACCCACAGTTCACACTGAGTATTTAACAACTTTAGAATTACATGCAGTGTGTGATTAATAATCTTAGATTAGGAAAATCTATTCTAACTGAAACTCAATATCCAGAAACTATGCAAGCTCAAAATCAAGAATAGAAAACTCAGCAGAATTTTTAGAGGTAGAATGACAAAATTAGTAACTTAAACATCAGCAGATATGCCTTTTTTGTGTATTATCAATTGCCAAATTTTGAAGATATGTAGCATGGGAGGTTAAATCCAATGCCAAAAATGACTACAGAGGAAGGAGATTTTTTCATTCTCATTTTGCTGAGGATACAAATATCTTCCATTGGAATGGGTCTCATTAATATGGGATCTCAGATGAAAGTACTGGAGACTCAGTGATGTGTTGGATGGTAGCAAGTGGTATGGGCAAGTGGTATGGCACATATGTAAGTGCAGACCTCACTGGGAGTAGGATCAGAGAAATATATCCTAAGCTAGTGAAAATTGTAATCCTATTGATCAACAGATCAGGCTACAAATCACAAGCTATACAGAAAAATGTTAACATTTCCTGAAGAAACATTGTCCTTTACCAAAATTCTAGAGGTTTTTCTCTCCTTTTAAGTATTTATGTATTTGCATGACTGAATGACAGGGAGAGAAAGATAGGGAAAAAATCTTCCATTAGCTGTTTCACTTCCCAAGTCTCAGCAAATTCAAAAAAGTCAAAATCATACCATGCATCTTCTCAGAACACAATGGAAGGAATCTGGAAATCAGCAACTCAGGAATCTCTAGAGCATATGTAAACACATGGAAACTGAACAACATGCTCCTGAATGAACACTGGGTCACTGAAGAAATCAAAAGAGAAATCAAAAACTTTCTAGAAGCAAATGAAGATAACAACACAACATATCAAAATTTATGGGATACCACAAAAACATTGTTAAGAGGAAAGTTTATAGCAATAGGTGCCTACATCAATAAATTGGAAAGGCACCAAATAAATGAGCTACCAATCCATAACAGGGATCTAGAAACTCTACAGAAAACCAAACCCAAACCTAGTAGGAGAAAAGAAACAATTAAAATCAGAGAAGAAATCAACAAAATTTAATCCAAAAAATTACAAAGATCAGCAAAACAAAGAGCTGGGTTTTTGAAAAATAAACAAAATTGACACACCATTGGACCAACTAACCAAAAAAAAAAAAAAAAGGAGAGGGAAGACCCAAACCATTAAAATCAGAGATGAGAAAGGGAATGTAACAACAGAAACAACAGACACCAAAGAAATAGTCATCAGAAATTACTACAAAGAGCTGTATGCCAACAAACTGGGAAGTCTAGCAGAAATAGAGAGATTCCTGGACACATACAACCTACCTAAATTGAACCATGAAGACATAGAAAACCTAAATAGATCCATATCTAAGACAGAAACTGAAACAGTAATAAAGGCCCTCCTAACAAAGAAAAGCCTAGGACCGGATGGATTCACTGCTGAATTCTACCAGGCATTTAAAGAATTAACTCCAAGTACTCTCAAGCTATTCAAAACAACTGAAAGAGAGGGAATCCTCCCAAATGATTTCTACAGAGCCAGAATCACCTTCATCCTTAAACCTAAAAAAGAGGCACCATAGAAAGAGAATTACAAATCAATTTACCTGAAGAACATAGATGAAAAAAATCATCAATAAAATTCTAGCCAGTAGAATGCAACAACACATCAGAAAGATCATCTACCCAGACCAAGTGGGAGTTATCCCTGGTATGAAAGGATGGTTCAACATTTGCAAATCAATAAATCATTTAAAAACTGCAGAAGAAAAAGCATGCAATTATCTCAAAAGATGCAGAGAAAGCATTCAATAAAATATAACACCCTTTCACGATGAAAACTCTAAGCAAATTAGGTATAGAAGGAACATCCTTCATTACAATCAAGATGATTCATGACAAACCCATGGTCAGCATCATACTGAATGGGGAAAAGTTGAAACCATTCCCACTGAGATCTGGTACTAGACAGGGATGTCCACTCTCACCACTGCTATTCAATATAATACTGAAAGTTTTAGCCAGAGCTATTAGGCAATAAAAAGAAATCAAAGGGATTTAAATTGGGAAGGAAGAAGTCAAACTATCCCTCTTTGCAGATGATATGATCTGCAACTCTACCAAGAGACTATTGGAATCATAGAAGAGTTTGGTAAAGTAGCAGGTTACAAAACCAATACACAAAAATCAGCCACCCTTATATATACAGACAATGCCATGGCTGAGAAAGGATTTCTAATATCAATCCCATTCACGATAACTACAAAAAACACATTGGAATAAACTTAACCAAGGGATTCAAAGATCTCTATGATGAGAATTACAAAATTTTAAGAAATTGAAGAAGATATCAAAAATGGAAAAATCATGTTCATGGATTGGAAGAATCAATATAATCAAAATTT